GCGTTGACCGGCGGTCAACGCCGGTCTCCGGCGTTGACTTTGTAAGTGATGAGTAGTAATGTGGGTGTCCGTTCTTCCGGATTTTTTTTCCGGATTCCGGCGTTGACCGGCGGTAAACACCGGTCTCCGGCGTTGACTTTTTTTTATTTTTTTTGTAATTTTTTTTTCTGTAACTTTTTTTTCCGTTTAAACAACAATATTGCTTTGAATGACAGTAATATTAACTATATTACTGTTAAACACAGTAAAATTAACTAAACTATAGTTTAACACAGTGATATTGCTATATTAATCTCTAGCACATTAATATTAACACAACAAAATTCATTATTATTGTATAATAAAGTAATATTACTATGTTGTCCGTTCAACAAATGTAAACAAAATAAAAAAAAAAAACCAAAAGAATTAATATTACTGTGAGTGACAGTAATATTACTATAGCAACAGTAATATTACAATAGTAGACAGTAATATTATTACGTTACTCCGTGAATAACTCAAACAAACAAAAAATCCAAACAAAATAATAATATTGATGTGGTTGACAGGAATATTACTATAACAAACAGTAATATTACCGTCAACCACAGTAATATTATTGTGTTTACAGTAATATTACAATAATAGACAGTAATATTAATACGTTACTCCGTGAATAACTCAAACAAAACAAACACCCCAAAAAAATAATAATATTGATGTTGTTGACAGTAATATTATTGTGTTTACAGTTATTTTACTGTCAACGACAGTAATATAATTACGTTGACTTGTCAACAAATCAAAAAAAATAAAAAATAAATAATAATAAATAAAAAAATATAATATTGCATTAATTTACTGTCAACGGCAGCACAATTACATAAATGTAATGTTAACAGCAGTACAATTACGTTAATTAACTATCATTGACAGTATAATTACGTTAATTTACTGTCAGTGACAGCACAATTACGGTCAACGTTTAGCGGCGGACGTGGAAAAATAAAACAAACCAAACAAAAAAAAAAAACTTAAAAAAACACTAAAAAAAAAGACCGCCGGAAACCGGCGAAAAAATCCGGAAGAAAAGAAAAGAAAAAAAAAAGAAAAAAAAAAAAAAAAAAAAAAAAAAAAAAAAGTCACCGCCGGTCAACGCTGGAAACCGGCGAAAAATCCGGAAGAAAGAAAAAAAAAATTAGAAAAGTCAACGCCGGAATCCGGCAGCAAAAAAAAAGTTTTTGAAAAAAAAAAAAAATTTGAAAAAAAAAAGTTTTGGGTCAAAATTTAATAATTTGTGAAATTTGGGGTCAAATTGAGATTAAATTAAGTTAAAGATGAAATTGGAGCATATTAAATTATACTCCAAAAAAAAGTCAAAATTGAATTTTTGTGGTCAAAATTGAACTTTTATGGACAAAATTGATTAATTTGGATTACAATTAAGAATTGGGTATAAATGGTTGAGGGTAATATTGGGATATACATGAATGTTTCCTTTAGTTATAATAAATATTAAAGGGATGGGCTTATTGGTGAAAGAGATATGTCCCCTAAACCTAGAATAATAAACATGCTTGGTTGGGGACTTTTGCATAAAAATCCCTAACTATTAAAACTTTTTAGTATTTTAGTTATTCAATTAAAACAAATTAAATAAACAAAAGAATTTGGAGATTTTTCCCCTAATGGTTAGACATTGTATTATTTTTATTTATTAAATATAAAATTTAGAAAAGTAATATAATAAAGATATTAGTTATTTATCTATAACCTTTCCAAGAAAATATTTTATTTATTATGGTTAATTAATTAAATTTTGTATTATTTTATAGTTATTTATAAAACAAATTACATAAACAAATGAGGGACAAAATATAGATTTCAACACATATTTTGAATTAAAAATAAATTTCAACCCCAAAACCCAAATATATTAGGAAAATACAACAAATAGTTTACCTCCAAATAATAATGATTTGCTACCCCAAAAATCACTTCTTAATCCATAACAAGTTAAACCTTTACCTAATTATTACAATTAAACAACAACAAACAAATAAAATTTCGGCACAATTAAACCTCCCCTAATATAAATAAATTGTAACACCCTCCATGACTTTTACTTAACCAAGAAAGGTTTTGGAAAATGGTCTTTTTAAAATTTCGATACGATTTGAACCTTGAGAAATCACTTTAAAATTTGTGGAAGCATTTTTCGTTTACTTAAAATTATAACCCGAATTTATAAGAAACCATTTTCATAAAGAGTGCTACATACATAACTATGAACGGGGTTTACAAAATACTTGTAATACAGCGGAAGAAAATAAACTTTATTTATATACCCCGGTTTAATAGACTAGATTCCAAAATCAGAGTACAAAATGAGCTCGTAAAGATCTCCATTATACATTAGACTTTGGGTAAATAGCATTAAACCACCTACATTTTTTAAGTTTTTGCGGATCACCACCTGAACAATAATTTTTTGCACGAGTTCACCCGTACTTAATAAATTGTGCCACTTTGCCCATTTTTTGCCGGTTTTCAGGTCAAAATGACCGGTTCTCAACCCATATGCGTTGCACATGACAAATCCAAGGGTATTGACGTCTTTTCCATTTTAAAAATGGAATAAATGTTAAATAGAATAAATAAACTATTTTCTCTTGATTCAGATTTTTTGTTGGCCCTCTTTCATGTTTTTCAATTTCTTCAAGAAAAATCCCACAACTATTCGAACATTACTTACCAAATCACGATTTTGTTCAATACATACTGGACTATCGCAATTTTGGGGTGATTCAAGCTCGATTTGATGTGAATTGCTCGCAATTTCGACTGGGTAGCGTTGTTTTTTTCGCGATTTAGGCACCATTCTGGCCGAATTTGGTGTGTTCATGTTCGATTTAGGTCGGGGTTTGTGTGATGTAGACTGGGTCTCGCTATTTAGAACTTGAATGTTGAAGCTTGAATCTAGATTTGTTTTGAAATGCTAATTGTTAACCGATTTGTTATCGCTGGGTGTTATATTTGTTATATTTCAAATGTCTATATGTATGCAAATGTGGTTACTCACGCAGTTCATAATCTCTGTTACTGATTGTAATTTGATGCTGTCTGTTTCAGGCTACAATGTCCGCCACCCAAGACAAAACAGCCTCGGCCCTGGTGGTGTCCCTTATAATCGGGATGCATAATCTATTTTCCGGACA